TACTTTTTAGAATTAACCCTGATACTTGTGGAATCCCAAAACATTAAAGAGAATTGTCTTATCACCTCATTTCACAAAATGACACAAATTATTTTATATGTTATTTCACTAGTGAATATTCAAGCTCCTGGAGATAGGGATTAGATGAACAAGTAAAATCCATAAAGTAGATCAATACATAACTCTAACATTCTTTATCCTTTTTTTGGAGAGCCTTATGAGATAGACAACTGCATTACTTTAGGAAACTAAGAATCACACACAGAGGTGTTAGGACACAATGAACTCACTAAGGTTAAGTGATTACAACTACAAAAATTCCTTAACCTCTAAACATGCAATAAAACAACAAAGCAGATTTTTAGCAACAAAAATGTAGTTGAATTACCATTTACTTGGTTGATTTCTGAGTTGGAGGATAGAATTTCATCTGCCAATTTCTGTGCAGTAGGAAGAACTTCTGTGTGGTGGGCGGTAATTAAATACTGAATAAACTTCTGCAGTTGGTCCCTATTCATCTGGAATAAGGTTTCTGAGATAGGAAGACGCAATTTGACTTGGTCTGGTTTACGGATCCTGTAGAGTGAGAGTGCTACCACATGAGCACAGTAGAATATGTCCTTGTTCCCACAGCCACATGTTACTGAAGTGATTTTGCATCGATCAAAACTTATTGCAACTTTGTAAGTCACTGCTGGTTCAGAAGTAGTGGCCGGCTCAGTTACAGTGCCACTGAGATGGAAGCCTATGGAAACAAAAACAGTGTTTTTAGAGATTCTGTAGTTAAAAACTTTAAGATTTTTACTTTGCATTTCAATGAATCAATTCAGAAACTATTTACCAAACATCTGCCATAGACATGAAAGTCATTAAAACTCGGGTATTAATCTTTTTTTACTTATTACTCTGGAGTCTATGAACCTCCTGAACTAATATGAAAACCTTTGTTTGGACACATGTACATTTTTCTGGGGGAACAGTTTGTAGCTTCATGATAGTCTCAAAAAGAACAGTAAGAAGCACTAAATAAGTTAAGGACCTCTGGTACATTTTTAGTTCTGTGTGGGGGGCAAACATAACTGTACAAATAACATCAGTAAAATTTTGCATAAGGTGAGTGTTACAAATGAAAGAGAAACCAGAACATCATGAGGAAGGACAGGAGGAAGGAAGATAAGGACATTTTCCCCTCAAAACAGTTGCAAAATGATGACTGTGTGGAATACCTTAAGGCAAGAAACCCTGAAGAAGGGAAAGCAGAGCTTGGTGCATTAAGACTATGTAGCGTTATACATCTATCACTAGCACTTACCACCAATAATTTTGCAATGTATAGGACAGATTTTTAAGTTAAAACTAAATAGGAAGAACTAAAATCAATAGCAAATCATTCTAGACTCATTTACTCTTTAAATATAATTCTTCTCCTTCACAAGAATATGTATTCAGCCAACCATTCAGTTACCCAGACAAGTTTAATAAGATCTTAAGTATAAGACTGCTAGGCCTGAGGATGCTAACAAAGAGGAACATCAAATATTTTTTAAATACTTACTATACTGCAGAAATGTGTTGGATACTTTTAATAATTTATCACAAAAAAACTTACGCAGTGGGCATTATTTTTTTATTTTAAAGGTGTATAAACTGAGACTCATAAAGGTTAAATAATTTGTCTAAGACTCCTCAGCTAGCAAGTGAAGCTAGAGAACTGCAGACACATAAGCAAACAATTATGATATGCCAAACAGTAGAGACAGGAACAAAGGAGGGGAGAACTTGAGATTTTTCAGTTTAACTGCATTGAACACTGTGAATAGAGAAGCAATTTTAAATAACCTTATATCTGTTGGAGAAATACTTGCCAAATTATAAATGGTGTATATGTAAGTTCTAGAGTTATTATTGTGATCTGGAAGAATTAACAAATGTAGAGAAAACATTCCAAAGTTCAAGTTTCAAATAATTATGGTTAAAGAAAGACCGAAATTTACAAGTATATTCATAAAACCTGGCAAAACTAACATCACATTTGATTTGCCCATTCAGGTCCAAATCAAAGAAAGGTGCACATTTCTGAAACAGTTAAGATTAATTTCCAAAGGAAGAAAAAGATAAAAGTTAATTTTCTAAATTCACAGTCTAGGTATATATTCTAAACTTCACAGAACTTTTTTTCCCTCAAGCTAAAAGTAGCTGCAGATTTAAAACATAGTGTTTAAAGCAAAGTAAAAAAGTTACGTTCGATTAAGTATGCCTTCACTTTAAATCTAAGAAAAAGAACTGCAGGAATGAGAAGTAGCTCTTTTCCAAATCTATGTCCACCAAACATGGCCAGTTGTAGAGCAAAGAACACACTGCACTAAAATTTGGCAGCCAGGATCTCCTATTTATTCTGTAGTGTTGGGCCACTCACTTTACAACCCTGAGCCTGAACATCCTCCTTAGGAAAGTGGGGGTAGTAATACTTGCTCTGCCCAGCTTTCAACGTGTTCTTGTACTGTAAAGTGACCTTTAGACTTATTATTCATGTGTACATGCAGTTATTGTTAATGGGGTCTCCATGACAAGGGAATTAGACAACTTTCCCAATGGTCAAGTTTCAGCTTAGCTGAAAACCAGGCCCTAAGGGAGGAGATTCTTAATTTCTCTAGGCCACTTAATAGTATTTAGTACATTATTAAGAAATGTCTAAAGTCCTGATGAAAAGAGACCCTAAAGAATAAGATAGTGATGACAACATATGAAAAGCATAGGTTCCAAGCCTCTGAATCTAAAAGGGATGCAAAGACATTTCTGCACTTGTCCCACAGCAGTTTCTGAATGACTAAAAATATGGTTACATTTGGGACAAAAATAGTCATTAATGAGTATCTTACCACGATGGAAGCTCCACAAGGTCAGGGCTTTCTCTGTGTATTGAGTATCTCTAAAAACAAAATCACTCTGGTAGTGGTATGAAAGAAAAATTGGACTACAGCTTCCAAGTTGTTTTTTTTTTTTTTAAAGATTTATTTGTGCATACGGAACTGGGGTACAGGCCAGAGATGCGGAGGGTGAGAGGATTCACCAGAGACAGAGTGGGGTACAGAACAGGCAGATAGACGAAGTACACTGCTGAGGGGAGCAGCGGGCAGGTCAGGAGAGGTCTGCCACGCCATGTGGTCACCTCCAGGGCAGGCAGGAATCGAACTCATGCGGAAGTGGCCCCAGCCTCTCAGTGCTATGCTTTAACCCGCTGCGCCACCAGAGAGGGCCAGCTTCCAAGTTTTTAAGACAAGAGTTTTGTTAAATACCTTTTCTGCATCTATTGAGCTGATCATGACTTTGACCTTTATTTTGTTAATGTGTGTGGGTTCCTAGAAGCTGGCTATTCATGGGCAACTGTGACCTGTTTGCTATCCACAAGTCAGAGCAGAACATTCCTTGACTACCTACAGAGTATAGTTTGTATCATGAGGCTGCTGATGACCTGATTACATAATTATCTCTATGGCGGTCTTGGGATGACTCTGCTGGTGATAACATCATACCTATGGTCACGATGTCCCCTTCCCTTTCCCTTGTAAAACTTTGTTCCCCATTCCTATCCCACCCTCTAGACTCTATTCCTCATACCATTGACACATGACCAGCTTTTACTATCCTGTATGATTTCAATAAATGTACAAGAGCTGCTCAGCAGCAGTCTTGCCTTGCAAACCAGCTCCACAACCGCTGTGTCTTTCATCGTGTTTCCACCGCAAACTGCAAAAATTTCCAGTTGCAACAAATGTGGTATATATCATGTTAACTGATTTGTGGATGTTGTACCATCTTTGTATCCCTGGAATAAGTTCTACTTGACATGATGTGTGATGCTCTTAATGTGTGTTACTCAATTTTGCTTGCTAATGTTTTATTGACAGTTTTTTTATTCATCAGGGATACTCTGTAACTTTCTCTTTTTGTGATAGTCATCTTATCTGGTTTTGGTGTCAGAGTAATGCTAGCCTTGAAAATATCATGGGGATATAATATACAGTATAGTGATTAAATTTTATTAGTAGAGCTGTAGTATACATTTGAAAATTATCAGAGTAAATTTTTTTTTACTTGTGAAAATTGTCTTTACTTTGGCCTACGGTACATACAATCTCAAAGAGTAATCTTAAAAGTAAAAATAAAAGAAATTTGCAAATAAAAATATATTATTATTATATTATATATTTTTAAATATTTTTATTATATTATTATTTTATATATTTTTTACATCATTCTTCATTTTGTGCATTTTTTAATATCAGTTGTAATCCCCATGGGTTTCCCACCACCAATTCACCCACGTGCCATCACCACAGTCCAGTGCACTCTTCCCATCCCAGTTCTGATCCCATTTCGCCTTCCACCCCCATAAAATGTCTCTGGTTTATAGTTGTTCATTGTTTTAATTTTTACTCTATTACACTTGTTTGTCTCTTTTTTTTTCCCCCCTCTGATCCCTTACACTCCTGCTATGAGTAAAACCATCTGGTATTTTTCTTTTTCTTTCTGGTTTATTTCATTAAGCATGATCCCTTTCAGCTTCATCCATGTTATTAGCAAATTTTTTGATGACTGCTGTTAACTAGATTTACTGTGATAAGCATCTCACAGTGTATACATGTATCATTAGGTTGTATTTCTGAAACTATTACATATACGTTATATGTATACCTCAATTAAAAAAACATGAGCAGCTGGTCTAGATGATCTCCACAGTTCATTCTAACATCGGTATATTATGATATAGTGACTATCACTGAGTCTCTCATAATGTGATATTACACAGTAAAGCTCTCTTAGCCTGTTAATCTTACTTTGGAAATACTTTTACTTAGTGTCTTTTTCACCAAATGTTTTTTTTTAAGATTTATTTATTTAGGCATATAAAAGCTGGGGTACAAGCAGTGAGAGGATATTCACCAGAGACAGAGGGGGAACAGGAGGAGGACTGACTGAAACACACTGCTGAGGGGAGCAGTGGGCGAGATAGGAGAGTTCTGCCTCACCATGTGGGTCAGCTCTCTGGTTGGGGATCAAACTTGTAGTACAGTGGTTGTCAACAGTGCCGCACTTTAACCCTTTGCACCGCCATGGAGGGCCCCCAAATGGGTTTCTTTCCCTAGTAGTATTATATCTAACATCTATAGTATGGCTGAAAGTTGAGATTTTTATATCAATTGAGTTATTACTACACTAAATAATAACCAGTATATTAATATTATCTTTCCTGGAACCAGGGTATTTGAGGGATTTAAAGAGTATAAAAATAATAGCTAGAGGCCCTCCTTGGTGGTGCAAGGGGTTAAAGTGCAACATTACAAACCTATCCACAGCCAGTGCTGCACGAGTTTGATCCTTGGCCAGGGAGGTGACCCACATGGCACAGCAGGTCTTTCCTGACCCACTCAATGCTCCTCAGCAGTGTATTTCAGTACATCTGTCTGTTCTGCTCCCCACTCTGTCTCTGATGAATCCTTTCACCCCTGCATCTCTGGCCTGTCCCCCAGTTCTTAAATGCATAAATAAGTAACTTTTTAAAAAGATAGCTAACCTTTAAGAGTACCCTTGTGTGCTAGGCTCTGTTCTAAGAACTTTGTGTACTCTGTTCTTAATATTTTAACTTATTTAATATCCACAACTTTATGAATTTGATAGCAGATGTAATATTTTCTATGTGTCAATTTGATGAGGGTACAGAATCCAGTAATTAAATCTAACACT